CATAATGTGTTGATTCCATTAAAAAAAATATTTGCCCTGTGACTGAGCTCACTAATATTCATAATTGTAAATAAGTTCTGTTAATCAATGAAGGAAAGATATGTAAATGATATGCAAATTATTATGCAAATTAGCCCCAGCGCTATGCATTTTTTCTGGGGAGAACCCTGAAATTGTGTAAGAAAGTAAGATTGCAAACTATGGCTTTCATCTAAACTCTTGACAAAAACTGTAGATAAAAATGTTTGTGTAATACAAACCATTTAAAAGACAGATGTTTTGAAAAATATTTGTTCTGCTTATATGTTGACATTTTGTCCTACTATTTACCAATATTTTGAGGGATTATTGCCTACCTGAACACATCCAGACAAAAGGTCATGTAAAACGTGTGCACGCTTTTTCATTATTTTGACATCTCTAGGTGTAGAGTCTAAATGTTGCCCATTGATAATGGGATTGGCAAATCGATTACAAAATTCTTTTCTGGTACCAAGCAAATTAGGCTTCACAAAGCTAACCATACAATGATCTAAAAAAATAAAATGCATAGTTATGCGAGATAATATAGAAGGCAGACACATTTGTTGTGTTAATGTTACAAATCTCATTACGTGCCGAGCATCAAGATCGAGTCAGCATGAATGGCAAGGAGTAAGCATGTGCTGAAAATCCTTATTCTAGAGCTTCCGAGTGACAGAAAAAGCTTGCTTGTTTGTCATAATGATGAAACATGTATTTTATACTTTCAAAGAAAACAGTTGTTGGTAATACCAGCCATGCATGTTCAACTTTTTTACCACCAGTTTCACCACCTCTTTGCATCATAAATTCACAAAATAGTCCTGTTCATAGTCTGCACCAAAAATAAACATTTTTTTTTTCAGCTAAAAACTGAAAATTGATTCAAATTGTTTGTTGGCTTCAAAATTAGGGTTTATTTCCAGAAATATTGTAGAATACAAGAAAAAAGTGCAGAAAAATTTGGGCAAGAAATTCTGGTGGTGAAAAAGTTAACATTAGATGTCATGGTGTCAAAACTTTTTAATAAAAGATTCCTAACGTAAGTTTACTCACATTCAACTAAATTGTTTTGCAATGGAGTTCCAGTTAAACATATTCTCCTCAATGTTCTTATATTATGCATTGCCTCAGATATGGAGGAGGCATCATTCTTCAAAATGTGTCCCTCATCACAAACAACAATATCAGGACCTGTAGAAAAAAAAAAGATTAAAATAGACTGATTAATGATACATAAACAAGATATGCGTTCCAAATCTTTGTTCTTTTTGATGATGAACAAGACTCATTCTATGAATTAAATTGCTTTTGTAGATTATTGGTTGTCATAACTTGCATACCAAATTCATCTGACTTGGGGCCCATGCTTGACTAAACCCTATTCTGTTTAGCAACTAATTTCACAATTTTAATTCCACAGAAAAAGGACGTGCCATCCCTCCTCATCTGGCACATGAGCGAATATTGTCTTTTGACCAATTTTTTGGGTGGGGTACTTAACTTAACGCCCACCCACTTAAAATCACAATTTTGTGAGCTGAGTACTCTGTGTGCTAAGTTGGAAGAGTACAGTACTTAGACCAGTCTACGTACAAGACATAGAAAACATACGAGAACACTCACCCAGCAGTGTTCCCTCTAAGCCTTATTTTCGCTCAATTTTCTCAGATTCAATTGTAGTTTCTCAGTGAAATTTTGTCTTTTGAGAAACTTTCCATGCATTTTGTATGCAGAAAAAACATTTCAAAGGGAAAATGGGAAAATTTTCACAGTATTTTCAAGATTAAAAATATTTAAAGGGAACAGTGCTCACCAGGATCTACAAGAGTATCATGGAATATTTTCTTCAGTTTTTTATTTCGTATTCGTGATCCTTTGGATAGTGCTCTGTACATGTCATAACCCATTATTAGTATGCCACCATCATCATGCCACGCTTGCAAATTATCAGCTCTTCTCCAGTTGTCTTTGACACTTGCCATCTCGTACACCTACAAATAGAGTATGCACTGATCAATAACAAAAAGCCTGTAAGTTGTCACTCAAAAAGACATGTATAAGCGATCAGTAGACCATGTCTTAATATTTTCCCAACCCATTTATCTGAAAAGTTCATTAACCCGAAAGAAAGATGCTGTGAGAATGAATAAACAAACTATAGTCCAACCTGTCTATAATGGTCACCCAGTTGACCAAGCCAAAGTGACCACTATAGAGAGGTGGCCTTTCTGTAAAGGGTGGGCGTGTCTTAACCTGAATCAGTGGGCTTGGCATTTGAGAAAAGCTATTAGGGAATGAATAGGTAGGATTGGCGCATGGCATATAAAATGTAAATGAACACACCATATTTTATTTTGAACTGTTTATTAGTATGAATAAATAAATATGTACAGTGTTTTACAAAACTCAGTTGTCATACTACATTGTATTAACATTTTTGTAATGTATAATTCATTATAACAAATCATGTTATTGTACATGTACTCACATTGGCTTAAAAAAAATCACAAACTGACGTCTGTTTTGCTTGGGTTATTTTCTCGCTGTGCTTTTTGCTAAAAATGTCCTCTAAATCTGAAATAGTACCCAACATATCGGATAGCCCCTGTCTAAGCATAAAGTCCTTCAAGTCATTAATAGACTGTGCTGCTTGACTGAAGTTCTTGATCACTGCTGGTGTTTCTGGTGGTGTGTTCTCATCACTGTCATCTTCTGCTTGTTCATTCTCTTCAAGCCGTTGTAAAATATCCACTGTTGTGTCATTCCAGTCATGTGGTTCTGTATTGCAGGTTACAAGCTGGTCATCAATATCAATAATATCTTGAAGGGAGCAGCCAAACAACTTTTCAGACAGACTGTTTAAATGTTCTGAATCACTTTCCAAGGGTTCTGCAATGTCATTATCTTCTGTAATAGGAAATAAAAAACATGGTCAGAGTGAAACAGACACCAACATAAAACAAAAACAAAAAACAATGGTAACACAAATAAAAAGAACAATCCTTGTTAACACATAAACAAAAGGGATAATGCTTTGTTTAACTGTAAAAATCGCCTCTCAAAAACCAACAATCTATCATAAATATTAGAGGAAAATGTGTTGATTAAAATAGTACTCACCATCTACAGTCGTTTGGTTGAATCCACAACGATTAAAACACTTCTGAATTGTTGTTGCCTCTACTTCTTTCCAAGACTGGCTACCCACATTATAGTATCTAGTACATTGGTTTCCCGCAGAAATTCAGAACCACACTTTGATTTCTCTTCGTCCATTTTTCTGATAATATGGCGTAGTTGCCGCTTTCGGAACTTGAGTTTCATAGCCTGGATAATTCCCTGGTCCATTGGTTGTGTCTTGGATGTGGTATTTGGTGGTAAAAAACACAGCTTGATATTGATTGCTCAGTGGCACTGTTGGATGGGATGGTGCATTGTCTATAAATAAAGGGATGTCCCTGTTTTGTTGCTTCATTTTCCTGTTGAATTTTTTTAAATAATCCTTGAATATCGTTGAATTCATCCATGCTTTTTTGTTTGCATAGTAATGCACAGGGAGTCTTTTCTGATCAATGTTCTTGAAACAACGTGGTTTCACCGATTTTCCGATGATCAAGGCATTTTCCTTCTCTCCTTCAAGATTGGCACATAACATGACAGTCAAACGTTCTTTAGATTTGTTACCACCTCTACACTCCTCGCCTTTAATAAACACAGTGTTGTTCATTGACGAAGCTTTGAAAAATAGGCCCGTTTCGTCCAAATTGTAGATTGTCTCTACTGTTGTAACCTGCAGTTATAGTTGGCAGTTTTAAGTTTCCACTCTTCAATTGTCTGATTATTGACATCGCCACTTTCGCCGGTCATTGTTTTGAAACCAATACCATGGCGATGACGGAAACTGTCCAGCCACCCGTTCGAACCTTTAAAATCGTCCACACCCAAATCTTTGGCAAACGATAGTGCTTTTTCTTGCAACAGTGGTCCACTGACAGGGATTCTCCGAGCAGTTGCATCTTTAAACCATTCCCATGTCAATTTGTTGATTTCTTCGTTACCAGTTTTTCTTATCTTTCTTTTTTGGTCGCCTGGAACGTTATCTTCGAAATCTCGTACATATTCAGCTTTTCGTTTTAAAATCGACTGAATCTGTGTTCTTCCGACACCAAACTGCTCAGCTAACTTTCGCGATCCAATGCCACCACTCGCTTCAGAAAGTCGGATAACAGTCAACTTATCATTGAGTGAAAGCATTTTCCTAGGATTCTTAGCCATTATTGCGATGTATATCTGGTGATGTAAAACTGCCACAAAGTGGCCGTTAAAGGGAGGTGACCGTTCTGAAAAGGTGACCGTTAATGCAGGTTGGACTGTAATGTGGAAAATTACAATGTATGTATTACCAATATGTACAGTGAGAAGTATGTTATGACCATGAATCTTTTGTACATATCGTCCGCTAATTGGCTGACAATACAGCTGTGTTGCAAGGAATGTTGCATTAAGGAAGTCAGTACATTGTTATCTCATTTGAAAAAATTTAAACTCCATTTCATCAACAATTACCACCCACATGACCTATCAGGTCAATAAACGCATCTTAGGTCAACTTGTGCATTAAAAAAAAATGTGGGACAAATCGTTGTGCATCAATCTTTGGGTGATTTTGAAAACGCACACTTATAATGAAACCATTTTACTTGGCATTTCATGACTAACCAAGGATTTGGATAAGTTGTATGTTAATATATTGACTGAGTATCCATGAACATTTGTTTCTCATCTGTGAAACATCATAAACGGACTTTACTGCGATAGTTTCTGACTAAGCAATTCATTCATGTTTGTTTTTACTTGAAATTTGTTCTATAATTTCATTACCAGTACTAGCATAATTAAAACTAATACAAATCATTTTTTTTACTGTAAAATGTCAACATTTAGAGATGCCTATTTTAGAACCAACTGTTATCTTTCTCTTCTTGCCTTGAGCCTAAATCAGACTGACGCTTTAAAAAGTGTGCACTTTTACAACTTAAGGTAGAGATGCAGTTTATTTGGCTTGCTTTTTAATTGAGTAATTAGACAATGAAGATGGTATTATATATCCAACATGTTATATATTTTCTGAAAGCTTATTATACAAACTTTGTAAAACTTGTCTTTATTTTAAATATCCAGAATGCGTTTTTGATTTTGGGTCAAAAATATGCTTTTTTGGACAAAAGTAGTTTAAAAAAAATTAGCTTAAAAACTTCAAGTCCGTTTGTGGATAAAATTACATCACTGGATACCTTGGTATACCACTAATTCAAATGCGTCCACTCATCTCTATAACGGCTTTCAAAGTCGCACAGCATGACCTAAA